AAGGAAGGAAGGAAGGAAGGTGTCCAGCAGTGGTGGCACACTTTAATCCCAGCACTCAGGAGGCAGAGGCAGGCAGGTCCTGGTCTACATAGCTAGTTCCAGGACAGCCTGGAACACAGAGAAACACTGTCTCAAAAAAATAAAATTAAGAAAGAAGAAAAGGGAGGGGGGAAAGTGGGGGAAAGCTTAACCTCGTTAGCAATCATAAGGAACAAAGGAAGACAGTAAAAACAGAATTTCATTTTACCCATTAGACTGTTAAAAACTAAAGTAAATCACCATTAATGAAGATCCTGGGGCAGCCAAACTAGCCAGCCTGCTACAGGAGCTATGGGCACCGGAGTAACATGTCACTGAGGAGGAGAAGTTCCCTAAGAATCAATGTAACACCTGAGAAGTCACCAGTATTCTTACTGCACAGTAACCAAAGAACTCACCTCCCTTAAAAGCTGCTGTTCAACTGTTTAATTGAATTACAAGGTGTACTGCTCAATTACAAACATCTACAACTTAGTGCTACCTAACAGCAGCGTGGCAGCTGCACCACAGCTAAAAAACTGGGACTCTGTTATGCTGCGCACTGCCCTGCGTTAAGATGAGGAGTGCAGAAACCTGCCTCCTATTTTCTCTCCTGCATGGGAAGGCTCTTCCCTTTGCACTCACGGAATGTGCGAAAGCAGGGTAATAAAGGAGTGGGAGAGCTGGCATGTGGCACTTTATTCTAGCAAATACTTGAGAAAACACTAAGAGGTGACCAAGTACCTCTCAGAGAAGGCTGTCTTGACACTGGCTACGTTAACAGCAAACACAGTTCTATGACATTTAGAAGGACGTAAGACTGCAACTATGCTCTCAAGTGTGTGCTTGAAGCTGACGGCAAAGTATTCTTCACCATAGCCTGTTGTACATGTTTTCTCAGAAAGTAAAGAAGGCTAAGGATTTCTGTGGAATAGTTCACATAGATATATATCATATAACCGGCATGCTAAATGTTACACACAGTCTTTCTGGAAAGAAAAAAATCCATTTCTATTGTCCCTCTTAGAACTCCAAGGCCTAGGCTCAAACAGCACGCTCACTTTATTATATGCACTCTTAAAACATGGCAACATGGGGCTGAGGAGCTAGCTCATTGGTTAAAGTGCTTGCCATGTAAGTGTGCAGACTGGAGTCTGGCTCCCCGGCACCTCTGTAACAGTCAGGGGTGCACAGCAGCCCACCTGTACTTCTAGCCTCCAAAAGCAGAGACAAGGCACCTCTCCAGAACAAGCTAGTTAGGGAGACTAGCTGTGTGTCAGTAAGCTCAGGGTTTGACTGATAGATGCTGCCTTGATGATTACAGTGGATAATTCTTGACATCAACCTTGGGCCTCCACACGCATGCATACACATATGTGTAGCTCTGGCTGGCCTGGAACTTGCTACATAGACCAGGCTGGCCTCAAAGTCCCAGAGCTGCCTGCCTTTGCCTTCTAAGTGCTGGGATTAAAGACCTGTGCCACCATGCACAGCCTAACAATAACCTCCTTAGGGACTCTGACCTTCACTAAGACCCACAGTGTTGGATATGTGCATATATACACATGTGCCCTACACACATGCAAAATAAGGACACACATACACATACAAAATGAAAAAGGAACAAAATGTACGGCAATGCGACTTTGCTTCTGGGTTGCCCTATAAGGAGCTTGGGCATTGCCACTAAAACCACACAAGAAAAGCCTGGTCAGACTGAAATTCACAACTCTTCTTAGATCCACTGACAACAGGGGTCTCAGAGAAAACTGCTATCTCAGAGACAGGCATCAGAGCTACAACTGCCAGAGCAAAGACCTGCACAGCATCCAGCACTGGAACAGAGAAGGCATGTGTCATGGGAGAACCCCAAGTTAAACCTGCACATTTTCATACCATGGTTCCCTAGATCCATTCAAGTCAAGTCAAGCAAGGGCAGTCAACTATCAACACTATCAACACTGTGGGTCTTAGTGAAGGTCAGAGTCCCTAAGGAGGTTGTTGCTAGGCTGTGCATGGTGGCACAGGTCTTTAATCCCAGCACTTGGGAGGCAAAGGCAGGCAGATCTGGGACTTTGAGGCCAGCCTGGTCTATGTAGCAAGTTCCAGGCCAGTCAGAGCTACATAATGAGGCCATGTGGGGGTGGGGTGGGGTGGAGGGAGGGAGAGGGAGATGGATTAGTGCTGCTCTCAGTCTTGGCCAAAGCCTTTCTGTGCAGTGGGCAGCAGTTAATGCTTAGATTCATAACTGGTCCAAGTGTTGAGAACTTGTGACTACTGAGTGCTCAGCCCTAAATGAGACATCCACATCAAGCCCTGCCACACCCACTGTCAAGGCTCAAGGAATATCCTAGAAGGAGGAGAGAAGCCAGGTAGTTATGGCACACACCTTTAATACCAGTACCCAAGAGGCAGAAGCAGGTGGATATCTGTGAGTTCAAGGCCAGCCTGGTCTACAGAGCTAGGTCCAGGACAGCCAGGGCTACCCAGAAAGAAACCCTGTTTCAAAAAATCAAAAAACAAATTTAAAAATGAAAGAAAAAAGGAGCAGAAAGAATGGAAGAGCTGGAGGATGAGGCAAGTGCTGAGAAACACTATCTTCTGTAAATGACAAGGCCATTGCACCCATCAATTCCCTGCACCTGTCGTTACCTGCCTAAGATAAAGCCAACAGGATCAGTCAGCATCCAGGAGGCAGCACTAAGTGGGTCTGCGCCTGCCACCCCACCACCCCACCCCCCGCCACCTAGAAAAGACATGAAGGGATGAAAGGAGGTGAGAGGAAAAGGTTCGAGACAGATCACTGTCTACATGTATTAAACGGTCAAAGAATAAATAGAAAACATTATATTTAAAAAAAGATTCCAGAAAGAGAAAATGATTATCAGAAAATAAAGAAGTCAGTCATCATGCAGGAGCTGACTGACTTGGTGGGCGAAGGTATCTGTCACCAAGCGTGACAACTTGAGTGTGATCCCTGGAACCCACATGGTAGAAGGAAAGAACCAACTTCTTCAAGTTGTCCTCTGGCCTCCACTTGGGCACTGTGGCATGCCGCCCCCCTCCCCACACACAAAATAAATACAAATGTAATGAAAAGTTTTGAAAAAGAAGGTAGTGTAGTATTCAGAGATATTTAATACATAAAATGTTTCAACTGAATTACTATTAAACTAATTTCAGTGTTTTAGACTGTGTTTATGTATTATCAAGTTAGCATATACAATTGTTAAAGTCTTATAATAATAACCATTAGAAAATATAATAAACAACAGGATTTCAGAACAGTATAAAGTTCATACAATATCTAGAGCAAATTGAACAGGAAATACACAAAGTTAGATCATGAAATTCACTTCTCAACATAATTACTCAAAACTCTAAAGATGTCAATTCTCACCCTTAAACCTTAAACTCAAGGTAATCTTAAAATGCCCACAAGATTGAGAATGTATACCATGCAATATCTTATACAAAAAATAAACAGGGCTGGAATGTAGTTTAGTGGTAGAATGCTTTTCTTTGTACTATCAGCAAGGCCCTGAGTTCTGAATACCAACCCTACCCTGGGCAAGGGGTGGGGGACTAGGGGTTGTCAGGCAGTGGCCCCATGCATCACTAACTGCTCTGAAATTTACCTCAAACTCAAAGATCTGCCCACCTCTGCCTCCCAAATGCTGGGATTAAAGGCATACACCACACTAGGTCCCTAGCACAGTTCTTGACACCCACTATTTCCTCAAAATACCATTTTTTTTTTTTGAAGCAATATCTTGCTATATAGCATCAACTAGCTCTAAACTTGCTTTGTAGACCAGGCTGGCCTCAAACTCATAGTGCTCTTCCAGCTTCTGCCTACCAGAGTGTTGGATTATAGGTATGTGCCACCAAGCCCAGGGGTCTTTTTTTTTTTTTTTTTTTGACAGATGCTCAGAGTCCCAGCTCTGAACTATTCTCTGTGACAGTCCTAGAAATCCAGTTGCTCAGCTGGACAGCCAATGTCTTATTTAAGAGGCCCCACCCAAATCACACAGATACTTACAGGCTGAGGCTGCTCCGCAATACAGCAGTTGAAACACAGCCAGAACTCACTCATGCTTTCAGTCCAGGGCCCGAGCACACTCCGGCAAAGGCTCCAAGTCTCCAGGCAGGAGCTCCACAACGTTCGCCCTCAAAGTGAGGAGTGGCCGTCAAAATAATTTTATTTCACTGGGTCTCTGTCCTTGGAGTTAATGTCTCAAGTCGATTAAAAGGAAAATCTGATTGTTTCTTTTCTCTGCTTCTCTACAGAGACTCGGTTCCAAGTCAATGGGGAGGAAAAGAACCACTTTGATCCAGAGCCTGGAGCAGGTCTAGGAAGAGGAGGAAAAGCAAATGAGTCAACTACACTATCCTTGAAATCATTTCTCTTTTGAAACCTGTAATAAGAGTGAATATTACCCAAAGAGCAAATACTGAAAGTCAACAATTTCACAAACTCACTGACTTAACGAATTATTGAGTTATCACTTGACTATGAAGGGTTAATGTTGTAATAGTGAAAATAGAAAAATCCTTGTTTTCATAGAATAGTCTCTAACTATAAACTATGAATTAAATAGGCATTTTATTTAAAAATCACCAGATAAAACATGACAGTTGCCATTCTTAAGTTCCACAAAGAAATGCTGATCATCATTTTCATGTTTCAACTGAGTCCTTTGTTCTCAGACAACCCACAGTAACTACGATCAATGAACTCTTAAGAAAAGCAGGTACAGCACACCAGAAACCTTCAAGTGACCATCCATCCACAGAAGAGAACTGTATACAGAAGCTGAATACATTTTGCTAGCTTTCCTTCCATAGATTCAGCCATTAGGACCCCTCCTCCATCCCAAATAACTAGCACTGAGTGGAAACACTGAACATCTCACCACTGCAAGCCAAGGTGAGTCCAGGCAATCCCTGTCAGGTAACTTCCTAGCTGCAGCTGAACCAAGTGGACTTACTGCTGACTGCCAAATGCTGAACTGCTGACTTGCTGACAGTCAGGAGAAGCAAAGGGGGAGAGCCAGAGAGGTTCCCGGCATTCTCAAGACCAGTGTCACCTGTACACAAATTTGCTTTGGTGAGGCCTGAAGTTATAGTAAATGGACTCATACTCTTGGCAACCTACCGTGTACATTAACTGAAGATGCCCAATACCAGACACACAAGTTGCAAGCCAAGGAAGTCTTAGCAATCAGCCAACCACAACCGAGGCAGTGGTGAGAATCTAAGAGAAGCAGCAGCATGAACGGAAAAGATGGTCCACAGAGGCCTCAGAGCAAATATAATGATGTGACAGGTACAGAAGTTTACTAAAGACATCTGTCTATGTCCAGACTAGAGAGAGGAAGAGCTATTAAATGTGGCATCACAGGGCCACCTTCAAGACGGAACTGGCACTGAGAAAGGATAATCAGACCATGGGGGTGGGAGGACCAGTGGAGCCAACAAGTGAAGGCAGTGTTTGCAAAAAAAAAAATAGCTTAAAAAGATAATGTGGTAGAGAGTGAAGGAAAACGCTGCCCCTGAAATGAAAAGATCAAAGGCCAAAGATGACTCATTTGGTTACACAAAAATATGTAAACATTCCTGTCAAGTGGCAAAATATAAATTTTATTTGTATTTTTAAACCTCTTAAGGCTCATTAAGCCAGGTGTTGGGAGTGCATGCCTTGAATTCTAGCACTTGGGAGGCAGAGGCAGGAGAATCTCGATTTCTGTGAATTTGAGGCCAGCCTGGTCTACAGAGTGAGTTCCAGGACAGCCAGAGTACAGAGAAACCCTATCTTGAAAAACCAAAAAAAAAAAAAAAAAAAAAAAAAAAAAAAAAAAGTCTCATAAACTGATAAACATTTTATCTGTAAATGTCTATAAATCATTATCTCATCAGCTCACAGAACCCTGGAAACTAACCAAATTAAAATCCTTCCCTTTTAAAGTTTTATTATGTAAATATAAAACAAAATTCTCCTTTATTCTTACTGTGACTACTTTAAAAAGTATTATTTTATATATCATAGGTATCCTTTACCCTACCTACCCAGACACGCTTTTAAAAATTCCCCCTTTGACTTCTTCAAGGCAGGCAGACTCTAACCCTGCTGAGACAAGCACTGGAGTCACTTCTGTGGTGAGTGTGCTCAAGTCACAGGCCTGACTAGCTGCAGAGCACACAATCTGGGACCTCACTCTGCAGTCCAGAGGCTAAGTCTAACACGCCTGAGCAAAGAACAATCATGCAGTAAGCAAACATTCAAGGAAACTGAAGGAGAGAAATTCACGGCTATGCTCAACTAAAATACAGATCTGAAACAAACACTCCTTATGTCACCCACATCTAGAGATAAGAAGTAGAGATGTTTGTTCTTGGACTGAGAAACAGTCTGAGATTTAACTAAATCAAAGGATCTCTTTTACTTAGACAAGACAGTGGGAAAGGCACTGGCCACCAAACCCAAGGACCTGACTTGGATCAAAACACACAGGAGACTTTATTCCTGAAAATTATCCTCTGACCACACATGAGAACCGAAGTGTCAAAGCACACTCTCTAAGTGTGAAAAAAAAAAGAGTTTAAGTATATTAGTGTATGTGTGTGTACATGTGTGCATGTGCGTGTGCGTGTGTGTGTCTCCCCACAGGATGCTGTGATACATGTATGCAGTCTGTAAAGTAAAAAATACATCTATATCCTTAAACACTGATTATTTCTTTATGGTAACAACTTTGGGAGTTCTCTTCTAGCTTTCTGGAATGGACATGAGCAGTGTCACTGTACGAGAGCACACCAAAACTATCACCCCTAACGGTAACTCAGGACCCAGTGGTTAAGTACAGCTCCAAACAGGTTTAACTGCCTTTGAATCCAAGGCTCAGCCAGTAAGCAGCAATCATGGAGAAACAGAGTCTCTAGCAGCGAGTGCATGAGGACAGCCTGCCTCTGTGCAGACACCCACGGCTCACTGTGGTGCAGCCACAGTTTCCTTAGCATTCTCACATCTGTCATTTGCTTTAGTCCACGTAGGTCACATTTTCTGATTTATATATAAACAACTAGAACCTACCTGCAAATATTAATTTCACATTTCAAGCAGTTGTGTGTTGTCTTTGTTTGTTTTCACTGGATACTCTGTTTAAATTAACACATGGCTTCTTACTTTACCATCTATAATAACTGCTCAATAACCCACATTTCCCCCAAATTCAAATTTTCTTCACATTTCCACATTTCTTTTCATTCCCATATATTACTTTAAGAATTCACAATGCTGGGTGGAAATTGTAGCACATGCCTTTAATCCCAGCAATCAGGAGGCAGGTGCATTTCCGTGAGTTCCAAGCCATGGGGGATGAGGGGGAAGAGGAAAAGGAAGGGGGAAGGAGAAGGGAAAAACTCACAGTGATTTTGCTCAAGAACAACTGATTAAAACACAGCAATTTGTGAACTCTATAGTTGTACAACACAATAAACCTGCTGAAATGTATTTTCAAACCGAAAAATGTTTGCAACCCCATAGTTTTTATTTGTTAAGTAAACAATGGACTTTAAGATGTTTCCTAAGATGGATGTCTCAGGAAGTGTCCATCTTCTTGCTTTCCTCATTAAACTGCACTTTTAGATTTCTGGTGTATAAACCTAAAATATTTATATACAAATATCTTCAAAGAATACTGAATCTGTTGCAAAAAAAAATTCAACATTGCTACTATACTAAGTTACTTTCACTTGAGCTGAAAGTTCCTTAAAATAATTCATTTTCAAAATCTTATACTTTAAAACCAAGTATTGTTATACTGAAGAGGATCAAGAGTTCAAGGTTACCTTCTACTATAAAGCAAGTTTGAGGCCAGCCTGGACTACATGAGACCTCTCAACAAACTACAAACCAAAACAAACCCCTTACACTTAAAAAAAAACAAACTATGCCCAGGGAGCAGCATTCTAACAGCTACACAGCTCAGCACATTCCACACATAAGTCAACATTCAGACTGGTCTACAGCATGATCGGCTTCTCCTAAGACCTCATCTTAGAGAAGGAAGAACTGTACACAGTTCACGAACTGGGTACACTCACTCAGTCTGTGTAGCACTGCACCGAAGTTCAGAATTTAGACTTTGAAATAAAGATATGTGACATGTGCTCTGTGTAAAGCCAAGTTTAGACACTATTAGTGCAGAGTGACATTCCTCTAGCTATCCAGACTTTCTCAGAAGTTTGAGCACTCCAGTCATTTCAGAAATGCTAGTATGGAGAAGTGGCAGGTCCTAGCCCCATCAGTCTTCGGTTATAACACAGAACGATGTGTTTCAGTTTCCAGATCTAAAATGAGGGCCAAATCAGATGCTGGATACACAGGCCCTGCATACTGTATGCTCTTGGTTGTTATAAAACAGCAAATACAAGAGTAAAGCAACAATAACAGCTTTGCTTCTCTTGGAGCTGGCATGGCACTATGCTGCCCAGATTAGTTCTGACTTCCTGACCTCAAGTATTCTCAGGTCTCAGCTCCTAGGTAGCTTGTCCTACAAGCACACGCTACCATGTTTTACCGTAAATTAAAAAATAGCTTAGAAGCCTATCAAGAAGAAAAACAATTCTTAACAAAGATTTATTTTAGTTTTCTTTGTGTCTGTGTTGGGACGTGCACATGCATGCAAGTATCTATGGAGGCCAGAAGAGGGTGTCAGACACCCTAGCTCTGCTGTTACAGGGTGGGGGGTAGGAGTTTATGAGCCACCTGATGTGGGTGTTGGCAACAGAACTCAGGTCCTCTGCAAGAACTATATGCACCCTTAACCACTGAGCCATCTCTCTAGCCCCAAGGGGAGAAAATTAATGAAAATGGCATATTCACACAAAAGAACAATGAATCACAGCTTTACAGAATAGGATGATTCTTGGAAAGCATTACATAAAACAGCACACAGAGAACCATTGCCACAAATTTCAAAAACGGTTTAAACAATCTCTGTCTAGAGAAACAAAAATAGGTCAAAGTAAAATTCTTAACAGCCAGCCAGGAGGGCACTCAAGGGCGGGATTCCAAACAGGAAAATTCGCATAAAAACTCCTGGAACGCTGACAATGTTCTACCCTCCCTCCCCCAGCTAGGCTGGAATGGAAGCCAGGCAGGCACCAACAGTACAACCCAGCCCTGCTCTAGCTACCTCTTAAGCCTGGGGGGTAGCTACAAAAGTATCTGTTAAACAGTATACTTTCGCACTACACAAGTGTCTATATAGTTAAAGATTTATCTTTTAATTTAAAAATGTGTTATGTATATAGGTATTTTGCCTGCATGTGTGTATGCATGCCATGT